TCGCTACCCTGAGAACTGGTGTCCAGTTACCTGCTTCACAGGAGGCGGTTCCTTCTTGCTCACGTCAATCCGCGGGAGATCGGAGATGCCAAACTTCTCTCTGTAATACTGGCGGGTGAATGGGTCGCAATCATAAATGAAGAAAGTTCTCCCGAGGATCGTGAGTGGCTTCCCGACAATGAAGTCTTTGGCCGTGAACCATTCCAACACCTCTTGATCAGAGATTTCCAGCACACACTGAGGGAAGCTCTCTAACGAGAGAGAGAGGAATGAGGATGGCAAGGAAGACTGACACACAGCAGCCGGGCATTCCTGAGAACCAATCACTAGAAATGAAATCGAATTAGCAATAAAAAACCTCCCTACAAATAAAAGTCCAGGACTGGATGGCTTCACCGGGGAATTCTACCAAACATACAAAGAAGAACTCATACCAGTCCTCCTCAAACTCCTCCAGAAGATTGAAAAGGAGGGAATACTCTCAAACTCATTCTATGAAGCCACCATCACCCTGATATCAAAACCAGGCAAAGACACCACCAAAAAAGAGAATTACAGACCAATATCATTGATGAACATAGATGCAAAAATCCTTACCAAAATATTAGCAAATAGAATCCAACAGCACATAAGAAAGATTATACATCATGACCAAGTAGGGTTCATCCCAGGGACACGAGGGTAGTTCAACATACACAAATCAATCAATGTAATATATCACATCAACAAGAGAAAGGACAAAAACCACACGATCATCTCAATAGATGCAGAAAAAGCATTTGATAAAATTCAACACCCATTTATGATAAAAACTCTCACCAAAGTGGGTATAGAGGGAACATATCTCAACATGATAAAAGCTGTATATGACAAACCTACAGCCAGCATAGTACTCAACGGTGAAAAACTCAAAAGCTCCCCACTAAAATCTGGGACAGGACAAGGCTGCCCACTATCACCACTCTTATTCAACACAGTCCTGGAAATCCTAGCCACAGCAGTCAGGGAAGAGAGAGAAATAAAAGGGATCCAAACTGGAAAAGATGAGGTAAAAGTGTCACTATATATGCTTATTGATTTGTCTTCTTGATCTGATTGTTAAAAAAGTTTTAATGACACCCCCTATTTTGCTATATTTGTATATTTTCTTGCAAAGCCAGGGTAAGCATAATTAACAGACTTTTAGAACCTTGTGCCTTGGGTTGGAGAGCTCAGTGGAAGGCTGCTGGTGAGCCAGACACCCTTCTTTCCACGTTACTCACCGCACACTGGTAACCTGCAATTATCTACCACAAAGAAGGAACTTTCAGAATTCCTGATATTTTTAACTCCATCTGTCATAAAAAAAGTATGTAACTTTTATTCATCTTCACTACTTAAAAGAAGGCTGTGGCAGGGAGAACTTTTGAAAGATACTCCCATAATGCCTTGTACTGTCTGACACACACCCTCTGCCCAGCCGCCGTCTCTGAGACGTCCCCAAACACATCACACTTACTCCTGACCCCCAGCCCCACCTTTGTTCATCTCTCTAAAGTGCTCTCTCCTGTTGTTCTCTGTGGTTCTAATCCAGCGCCATTCCCAGCGCTCCCGCAAAGCCTTCTTTAGTCTTTCTAGCTCATACCTCTTCTGAGCTCCGTCTACATGACATACCTAGTTACACAAGCAGATACCTAGTGCACGTGTGTTACTGTTTAACAGCTATGAGCACTTATGTGACTTGTCTCCCCAGCCGCTAGAAGTGACCGAAGGGTGGGGATTCTAAGTCTGGGGGTGACGTTTCCTTTTATCCTCCACAGCACTTAGCCCACGGCACAGCTCCTGCAGCAGATACTTAAATCTTGTCTATTTGAATTCAATAAAAGTTATCCACTGGAACCAGAAATGGACACAACATTGTAAGCTGACCATACTTAAATTAAAAAAAAATAGAATCACATGAAAAATTATCCACTGGATGAACGCCTCTGAGAGTCAGACACTTCAACACCGCGGTTCATGTCAAAGGAATTACTCAGCTGGTGGGAGCGCGGCCTTTTCTGTCCTCCTCCTGCACGACTCACAGTAACTTTCACAAAAGACATGTGTCCCACCTTCTCAGGGAACCAGACATCTGTCACCAGGCTGCCTCTCTATATACCTCTGATGAAAATTTCGTTCAGATTTGGGAATTTTTGGAAGAGGATGATTACATATTGAAAAGTTGAAACACAGGCCACAAGGAAAAGGCAGACAAGCATGGAACCTGAGTCAGTTTAGGGGACACTTTTTCATGCCACCCTGAATACACTCCCATTCCTTCTCTTAATTGGCCATAGCTCCAACATTTATTAGCTCCAGACGGCAGCCTGCCAGGCTCACTGAAGCACTCAGGAAGGCCTAAGATAGGACAAAAGTCCCTGTGTCAGGGAACTCGAAGAGGGTTCTATGGGAGCGAAGCAGCAGCCGCCAGACTCGGCTGAACCAGGGCCCGGAGCTGGTCATCGCTACTTGAGGATGTAAGCCATGCTAGCAACTATCCTCATCTCTCAAAAAAAGAGATGCTTAACGTTAACTTTCTTAATTTTAAAATGGCCGTTTCACTCCCTTCTCCTTGACCTCATGCTCCTCTGCCTCACCCGCAGCCGTTCTAATGCGCAGCCTTTGGACGTGTGTCCTGTGTGTGCTGTTTTGTGTGTATTTTACTTGATGTAAGTGTCATTGCGTTATACATCTCATTTTACTTCTTTTTTTCTAAACCGCACCATGTATTTGAGATGCATTCATTTGCTCTTTTGCACAATTTGTTTATTGCTTCTATCTACTACGTATGTAGCAATATACACCTGAACTACATTTTGATTATCCAGCCTTCCAGTGCTGGAACTCTCCAAGTACTTGCCCCCAGCCGACTGTGTTTTGTTTTGTTTTTTTAAACACTGTGCCGGCCAAGCAATACGTATGGGTAGTGTTGTATTTAGTCTTCAGACTGCCAATCTGTTTGTAACGTCTAAGACAAACCTTTTGCTCAATACCTGGATTTTCCTATCTCCCAGTTCCAAAAAAATAGAGTAAAAGGAAAAAAACAAAAAACAATGAAAGTATTTATAGAGCTCTGTCAGCCATCCAAGCATTGGTCATTACATGTGACCAAGATGACATCTCTGTAAGAGAAAATTTTTAAACTATTAGGTCAATAACTAAAACAAGTCTACTTATCCTGGAGAAATAATGACATAATGACGGACGGCGTTATCTCAGCTGCATTTTGTTTGCCTTCCCACACTCCAATCCTCAAGGGAATTTTATACCAGCAAAGAAAGACCAGGGGTTAATACAGCAGTGTTCCACATCTTTGAGTCATAGACGTGCCTTTCCCCACCTGAAGTTATCCCACATAGAAACTTCCTGATGAGGAGGTGGTTGAGGTGACAAGTAAAGGCAAGAAAGCATGTACGAAATGGTCAGCTGTATCTCTGAATGAACACAAGCTTGTTTCAAAAATGTACTAAAAATATGGTATCAAACTGCTTCAGCTCGGAAGCTTTGCTCTTCCACACTTTAAGCCTCCCATCACAGGTATATATAGAATAGATAAACAAGATTATACTATATAGCACAGGGAAATATATACAAGATCTGGTGGTAGCTCACGGTGAAAAAGATTGCGACACGGAATATACGTATGTTCATGTATAACTGAAAAATGGTGCTCTACGCCGGAAATTGATGTAACGTTGTAAACTGACTATAACTCAATAAAATAAAGTTAAAAAAGAAATCTACTGCTGTTCTGGTTTTGTTCCCTTGATCTGGCTATCAGTCATCTCTGCAGGACCACTGAATCCAGAGACAAGCCTGGACCGAGGGGTCAGTAAAGGAGGGAAGGGATGAAAGGCCGTTTTGTGAGCACCTACATGAAGGCAGCCAGAACCTCCCACGTGTGAAGGGAATGACCACGCTGATCGAGTAACTCGACAGAGATGAAGGGAGTTATCCTCAACTAAGGGAGGATAAACTGAATCTAACCTACTTGCATTCTCCACCAAAACCTTGGGCATGCGCTGGCGGTACATCAGGAGCGGGAAGGGATCGCGCCCATTGTTCCGTTCATGGACCTCGCGAATTTCCACCGTGTCATCCATGAGATAGTAATGAATGATGTAGTTCCGACATTCACCAAACATGCTGTCGGTGTCATCCCAGATGGCGTAGAACCGAAGAACCTTTGAGGGACCCAAAGCAGTGACTTTCATAAGAATCCTACAGGTGGAGAGTTTAACTTAGCTACTTTGGCGTTTATGAATCAGACAAAGGTGAAAAGATTAGCTGGAAAGACTATGAAGTAATCTCAGATGGTTAAAAAATTTTTAAGTATTTACCAAAGATACAAAAACATCTGAAATTATACACTAGATATTAACAGCTGGAAAGTATTAAATAACAGGCGTTCATGCTTGTGCTGAGAGAGGATTCATTTTGATCCAAAATATTAGTCAGTGAAAAAGAAGCTGCGTTAAAAGAGCAGCAGGTCCTTTATTCGATGGTTTAAATGAATTAATCAAGGTACATGTGGATGGTTTGTATATAGTTAGTATTGAAAGAATTTTCATTTATTCATTCATTTATTAATCAGTCTTTTTTTTAGTTCCTTCAGCTGTTCCTTCCAGCAACAGCATCAACAACGCAATTGTTAAACACAAAATAATAACAGACATGTGACTGACATAAAGACCGTCCTTAAAAGTACTTGCTGGGGCTAGGTAAACTCTTCCAAACCGAAAGGAATTATATTTCTGAGAGAAAAAGCGCAGCCAACAAGCACTGAGGGTGACATCTGTTTTCTCTCTCTTTTTAGTGCAGAAAGGAGACTCAGACCTGCCTCTACGCACCAGCCCACGAGGGGAGACTGGAAGGCTGGACAGAGTTGGAAAACACCCGGAACGTTCTGTACTCATTAATATCACATTTAACAAGGAAGCATCTGCAGTGGGAATGCTGGGAAATTACTACTTTAACATCAGGAACCTATGTATATATGCAATAGCTTTGAAATTTCCCAACAACTCATTTAAGGGTTCCCATAGGATTCTCCGAGATTAACTCATGCTTGGGAAGAGACGTCGGCGGTTGGAAACGTGAAGTCAGGAGCAGACGTAGCCCAGGAATCGCTCTAAGGTTAACACTTCGGTGGAAACTCACAACGCTCAACTCCACAACCTCTCTGGAGTCTCTGATGTGACACTAAGGCATTCCTGTACCTCTAACCCTGGATGAAACCACAAAGACAGCACCGTATCCAACCAGTTAAATTACGGGCGTGGTGTTTCAAAACGCACGTCTACCAGGACAGCTTGCCAACGAGCAGTGTCGTGCACCTGGGAAGAAGTAAATCTCGTGAGGTGCCTGGGTCACTTACTTGTTTGTCAAAGGTGAGAAACTGCTTGAGTTGATCAAAGTCCGAGGGGGTCACGTACTTACGAAGAGGCTGTTTCCGGAGTTCAGTGTAAGGGTCGAGAGCCATCTTTTCTGGTGGATTTAATTCAATTCCTTGACTTTCCAAAAATACCTAAAAAATTTAAAATTAATAGTGATCATCTTTCTTGAAGCTTCTCAAAGTTAAGAATTAAGTGATAGTATAAAAATAAGTATAAGAATTTCTATGCCACTGCCCATGTGAATCATCCGTTCACAGCTTGGGCATGTCTTAGTGGTACCAAGCCTCCGACTGACCCACTCCGATAATGCAGATAATTGATAATTACCTTAAGCATAACTGGGAGACATGATGGTAAGGTAACTGGCTCCAAATATGAATTCTGATCAATTAGTTAGTCAGATGCCCAATGACAAAGTACTAAGATTGTTTACATACACACTTTGGGAACCTAACCATAGTTTGAACAATACGGAATTCATTTCAGATACGGGCTAACGGCAAAGGGAAGCCGAAATCAAATTCCCAGCTTTCCATCTCATTTAAAACAATTATATGATTATGCATTCCCCCCACCAAAAAAAAAGAAAGAAAAAGAAAACATACCCACTGATTATTTTAGACCAAAAAAAATTTCAGCCAAACAGGAAACACAAATCAAATGCTCAAATCTCATTAGAAAAAGTTAAAGAAAGCATATGAATTTGAGATGATCTTGAATTTTATTTTGCTAATTATGAACAAATACAGTATTACTTTAAGTCACTATATATTTTAATACCACTTGAGAATTCTCCTCAAAAGCACCACAATAAACTATCATTTTCGTTGTTCAGAAAAAGAAAAGAACAATTTCCTGGGATCTGTCTACATTCTGAAAGTGGAAATCAATCTGAAATCTGGGCTTCTTTGGGGGGTTGTGTGGTTTCCAAAATATTTGAGTTCTAGTATTCACTCTGCTGCTAACTAGCTTGTAATCTTAGTATCTGAAGTTTTACTAGGCAGTCTCCAATATCCTTCCAATAGTAAAATATTATGATTTCAACATCTATTACAACTACTGAGCTGCAGATGACGACAATAAAGCTCCCCTCTCCCGTGGACGGGGTACAAGTGCAGCTGGACTATTGGCTGAAGTGTTTAATGGGTGTTTTACTCCTTTCTGTTGCTTCCAACAGATAAGCAGACCCTCTGTGAACCTGACCGTAGGGATTGTGGCAGGAAAGTAGAAGCTTCCTGAAGCTGACTGTTCTTCCTGTCTTTTAGAGAAAGACTAAACTCTCTGAAGTGATTATTCTGAAATGTCCCAGGAGGAGGGGAGAGAAGGGACTGTCTTTGAGGGCAAGACGTGAGAAAAGGGGAGATTCCCACCAAATGGAAAACAGACCCAGCTTGGAGGGTCCTGGAAGAGCAAGGCTCCCCACGTGCCCTGCAGGGCTGCGCGGAGCACGGTCGTAGCCCGTCAGGCTCGGGCATTCGGTCCTGCCTCCTACGCACAGCAAGGCATCAGGGAGGTGCCCTCGGTCCCTGGACAACCTGTGGATCCTGCCTGGTGACCCCTTTAGGTCTGGGAGTGTCGCAGCTTCCTTGCTGTTCTCAGGGCTTAGAATCTTTGACAAAGCTGAGAGCAAACAAAAACACCAGGCCAGTTGGACTGGGGTTCACACAGGTCTTCAGTTACTTTTAAAAGACAAAATAGTATTTCTCATGCGCCTACATCTGTGGAGTAGGACTCACATCTGCTATGCTAGGAGTAATACTTTAATGAAGATAATAAATCCTAGCTCTCTGAGTTCCAGAGCTTTATTTTTTAATGTGTTTGGTTCATTGTGTCTATAGGACCATTTATTTGGAGCAGTGAGGAGGGGGTGAGAGGGATGGTGATGACGATGTAATTGAACAGAGGTGGTTCTTTGTCCAAATCACCCTATAAAGACAGCTATCTTCCTTATCTGCTCATAGGTCCAGCCCTAAATGTGTATAATTTTTAACTGTTATAGGAGTCAACTTCTAACCTAACAGACCAATGAATCATCAGTGCCTGAAACACTCAGCCCTAGTCAATCACCAGCATTAAAACAGTTGACCCTCATTATTCACAGATTCTGTATCTGCAGATTTGGTTACTTGCTTAAACTTACTTGTAATCAGGACCCACCACCGTGTGCAGAGTGCTGAGAATTTTGAGTTGCCTGATGCACATGTTCCCAGCTGAGGCTGAACAAGGTGATATCCTGCCTCCTGGTTTCAGATTTCATTTTGAAAGTGCGTCCTTTTCACAGTCTACTTGGTGCCACTTTTTCCCACTTTTGTGTTCTTCGCGGTTTTGCTGTTTAAAGTGGCCCCAACCTTAGTGCTGTGGTGCTGTCTCATGTTCTAAGTGCACAAAGACTGTGATAAGTACTTACTGCCACTAAACTGTACATCTAAAAATGATTAAGGCAGTGAATTTTATGTTATGTATAGTTTACCACACACAAAAAGGCAGCTGTGAGGTACCTTAAGAAAAAATGTGTTAGCTAAGCTTCATTCAGGCATGACTTACACGTGCTGTTGGCCATGAGCTCAGTGGTAATGAATCAACAATATATTTTGCAAGTATATTTCAGCAAAGTGAAGCCGAAATCAAATTCCCAGCTTTCCATCTCATTTAAAACAGTTATATGATTAAGTACTTTATGCAAAAGAAAAAGAAGAAGAAAAGGAAAAAGAAAAAGAAAAAGAAAAAGAAAAAGAAAAAGAAAAAGAAAAAGAAAAACATACGCACCGGTTGGTTATTTTAGACCACAAAAATATTTCAGCCAAATAGGAAAGACAAATCAAGTGCTCAAATCTCACTAGTGTGTTTCTATTTAAAGACGCCATATTTAAAATAAGCTGATGAAAATGTTGTGACCAGAGGCTTGAAGAACTTAACCCTGTAGTTCTTCTAGGAATAAGGTTCAGTATTTGCTAATTCAGTGTCTGGGGCAACTTCACTGAACTTAACTACCATGAATAATGAGAATGGACCACAGCTGGCTTAAATCAACCGCTCAGTGATCAATTTTCAAATGTTCAAATGGTCTCTAAAGACACAATTGTAAAAACAATGGTAATACCTTAACTTTGTATAACATTTCATCATTTTTTCATTGTTGGTACAATTCTGAAACTGCCTATGATAGAAAGGAGCTCAAAAACCTAAAAAAAATGAGAGATCAACACATGCTGAAAGGGAAAGTATCTCAAAATGCTCTAGCACCTCCACCTTCCACACTGTCTTCTCCACTGTGCTGGGGCAGCACGGATGCCATGGCTCCTCTCTTCACTTCCCAGAGGTCCTTTCTGTGTGTCATCCCATCAGGAAGACCATCCCCAACCAGCCTGTCTATACAGCACCCACTCCAACTCCCATGCCCTTACTGTCCCTTAGTTCCTTCCACAGCTCTTATTGACATTTGACATACATTTGTTTGCTTATTGTTTGTCTCCTCCAAATAGAGTATAATAACCTCCATAAGAGACAGTCTTTACACCTGGTCCCTAGAACAGCACCTGGCACACAGCAGGCACTCAGTAAGTATTTGCTAAATAAATTACTAAATGAGAAAATGAACGAGTGAATTCATAGGAGTTCAGTGAACGGTAAAAATTAATCACATTTGGTCAGATGGGATTAAAGGCATAAAATAATTCAGGAACTATATTTTTACTACTAGAATTTTAAAAACTAAGACAAATTTGGAATTGATTTCCTAACACCTACATTTTCTGCTAAAGAAAGCAGGCACTCTCTCTTTCTCTTTGTACAATTAAATTGAAGTTGTCAAAAATCCACATTTATGAACTAGAGAAAGTGGAGGATTTTTCTCAATGTAAAAAAGTGTTTTTCAGCTGAAAGCCTTCCTGTTAAATTCTGGGACAAGACAAGGATGCCTACTCTCACCACTTCTATTCTACAAAGTCCCAGCCACAGCAATCAGACAAGAAAAGTGAATAAGAGGTATCCAAATTGGAAGGGAGGAGATAAAACTGTCATTATATGCGTATGACATGATACTCTATACAGAAAATCCTAAATACTTCACACAAAAACTATTAGAACTGATAAATGAATTCAGCAAGGTAGCAGGATGCAAGATTAATATACAGAAATCTGTTGCATTTCTTTACACTAACAATGAAATATCAGAAAAGGAAAGGAGAAAAACAACCCCTTTCAAAATTGCATGAAAAAATATTTAGGAATAAACGTGACCAAGGAGGTAAAATATTTGCTGTGAACTATAAAACACTGACAAAGGAAACTGAAATGATTTAAAGAAATGGAAAGATATTCTATGCTCTTGGATTGGAAAAATTAATATTGTTAAAATAGTCATACCACCTAAAGCAGGCTACAGATTTAACGCGATCCAAGTCAAATTACCCAGGACATTTTTCACAGAACTAGAACAAATAATCCTAAAACTTACATGGAATCACAAAGACCCAGAACTGCCAAAGCAATCCTGAGGAAAAAGAACAAAGCTGGAGGTATAACCCTCCAAGACTTCAAACAACACTATAAAGTTACAGTAATCAAGACAGCATGGTACTGGCACAAAAACAGACATATGGATCAATAGAACAGAATAAAGAGCCCAGAAATAAACCTACAGAACTATAGCCAATTAATCTTTGACAAAGGAGGCAAGAATATACAGTGGAGAAAAGACAGTCTCTTCAGCAAGTGGTGTTGGGAAAGCTGGACAGAAGCATGCAAATCAATGAAGTTAGAACACTCCCTCACATCATACACAAAAATAAACTCAAAATGGCTTAAAGACAAATATAAGATAGGACACCATAAAATTCCTAGAAGAGAGCACAGGCAAAATATTCTGACATAACTTGTACCAATGTTTTCTTAGGTAAGTCTACCAAGGCAATACAAATAAAAGCAAAAATAAACAAAATGGGACCTAATCAAACTTTAAGCTTTCGCACAGCAAAGGAAACCATAACAAAACAAAAAGACAACCTACGAACTGAGAAAAAATATTTGCAAATGATACAACTGACAAAGGCTTTATTTCCAAAATATACTAGCAGCTCATACAACTCAAAAACAAACAAACAAACAAAAAATCCAATTAAAAAATGGGCAGAAGACCTAAACAGATATTTCTCCAAAGAAAACACACAGCTGGCCAACAGGCACATGAAAAGATGCTACACTGCGAATAATCAGAGAAATGCAAATCAAAACTACAATGAGGTATCACCTCACACCAGTCAGAATGGTCATCATAAAAAGTCTACAAATAATAAATGTTGAAGAGGGTGTAGAGAAAAGGGACCCTCCTACACCGTTGGTGGGAATGTAATTTGGTGCAGCCAGTATGGAAAATAGTATGGAGGGTCCTTAAAAAATCAAAAACTGAGTTACCGTATGATCCAGCAATCCTACTCCTGGGCATATATCTTGAGAAAACTATAACTTGAAAAGACACATGTACCTCAGTGTTGATAGCAGCACTATTTACAATAGTCAAGACATGGAAGCAACCTAACTGTCCATCGACAGATGACTGGATAAAGAAGATACAGTGTATATATACAATGGACTACTACTCAGCCATAAAAAAGAATGGAATAATGCCATTTGCAGCAACATGGATGGACCTATAGATGATCATACTAAGTAAAGTAAGTCAGATAAAGACAAATACCATATGATTTCACTTACATGTGGAATCTAAAAAATAGCACAAATGAACTTATTTACAAAACAGAAACAGACTCACAGACAGAAAACAAACCTACGGTTACCAAAGGGAAAGTGGGGGAGGGATAAATTGGGCGTATGAGATTAACAGATGCACACTACCATGTATAAGACAGATAAACAACAAGGATTTACTGCATAGCATAGAAAACTATATTCAGTATCTTGTAATAAGCTGTAAAGGAAAAGGAAAAAAAGGAACATGATTTTAAACACTCTATTGAGTTTACAAGCTCAAAAATAAAATGCTTATTAAATCAACAATATCTGCAATATAAACAAATAAGTGCTATAAAAGAAAAAAAGTGTTTTCCTTTCGAAATGGTTTTTTAGGAATTCTTTTGACAGCAAATTTTCCTGGAACAGAGCAAGTATGAGTTACAGGAAAAATACATATTGCACAAAAAAACTGAGGCTTCTATCTGCTAACAGAAGTAGTACTATTTTCGTAAACCTAAACTTCAGCTAAACTCACGGCTGACGTTCCTCTTTTATATTTCTATCCCATCAAGGGAATGACCTCCTCACTCTCTATTTGAACAGGCATGTGAACTGATTTCTTACCAAATGACTCAGCTATGATGGAACTTTAACTTTGTTTGAATGGATATGTATCAGTTATCACTGTAGAAATAACGATCTCACGACACAGCGATCCACATGTCAGCACATACACAAATTACCAAATGAACAAAAATCCACACGGGACAGATGACTGGTGTCCTCCGCTTACCCTAGTAAATGGACTGTATCCTTCCACAGATCAGAGTAATGCCTCAGACATACACCGCTACTTCCCACAACATCTCCGGTACCTGTGTGAATTTGTCACAGTCGACGATGCGGAAGGTTCTGCCGTAAATCGTGATGTTCATTCCGCGGTTTAGGTCTTTCCAGTGGTAATGGTCTCCGCGGTCGTTCTTGGCCAGCCGCTGGCGTCTGACTAACTTGCCCTGAGGGATCCCGGAGTTCTCCACGACGGGCTCTATGACAGACATGCTGTCGTCCTCCAGGTAGTAGTGAATGTTCACCTGACGGATCCTGTAATGTTCCTCCGCTGACATCGGAACATCTTCTTGGAAATAGGCATCAAACTTCAGCACCTGTGACACGTGAGGGAGGGAGCTCTTCATCCTCAAAATACCCAGGACCCTCCCGTAAAGAGAACCACTCAGGGAGATTTGAATACCCATCACTCCTGTCTTCTAAATTGAAGGTTGCCAAACCATAGCCCTGGGACAAATCGACCCTGCCACCTGTTTTGGGATGACCTGCAAGCTAAAAATGGTTTTTTACGTAATTAAATGGTTGGAAAATCAAAAGAAGGATGAAATTTCACAACACGTGGAAATCATATGAACTAATTAACTTTTTTTTGCTAATGGCTGCTTTCCCATTATAAGCGCATGAGGTGAGCAGTTGGGCTGCTGCTATGGACTGAATTGTGTCCCCCCAAAATCATGTTGAAGCCTTAACCCTCAGTGTGACTACCTGTGGAGACAGGGTCTTTAGGAGGTGATTAAGCTTAAACCAGGTCCCAAGGGTGGGGCCCTAATCCAGCAGAACTGGTAGCTTTATAAGAAGAGGAAGGGAATTCTCTCTGCACACATGCACCAAGGAAAGGCCAGGTGAGGACACAGCAAGGCAGCTCTGAATGTCAGGAAGAGAGCCCTTACCAGAAACCAAACCAGCAGGAATCTTGATCTTGGGTGTGAAGAATTAAATTTCTATTGTTCAAGTCTCCTGTCTGTTTGTATTTATTACAGCAGCTCAAGCAAACTAAGACAGCTGTAAATCCCCAAATATTATTTGGCCCTTTACAGAAAAAATTGATGACCAAAGTATGTATAGGCTGTTTACTAACTATTAAAGGGTCACAAAAAGAAAGAAGGCTTTCTAGGCCAGGATGGTACGACCCCAGGTGGAGAAGTAGTCACCAGCGTGTTTGCAATGGCAGTAGCAAGGATGCTAAGGATGAAAAGGATGAAAGGAGGGTGACACCAGGAACCCAGAATGGGATGTTAGCCTGGGAAACAGAAATAGCTGAAAGTAGCAGGAAATAGTATTTTTTTCTCCTTCCTTTCAAGATAATATATTTCCTTCTTATTCTTCCTGGGTCGTGGTGGTGAGAACTGTATGGAAGCAGAGAGAAGATGTGGGCCCTCCTTGGAGAGGTCCTGGTCTTCGTCTCCCACATGAGAAATGGTTTTATTCTAAGGATGAGGAACTGGACAAAGAACAGCCAGAATGGGGACCAATATGTTGGCTATTGAGTGGACCTCTGTATATTCCTAAAAAATTTAAACTCTGATTGAATCCAGAAACACCGTAATTCTCTCATTGCAAAAAAGAAATCTTAGTTTCAGAACCATGCATCTAACTACTCTTTACCTCATTATCTATGGTAAGATTTATTTATCTAGAAACCGTGATAATCCAAGTAAAGTGAACAGGAAAACAAAAATGTAAATAGCCTTTTCATGCCCACTACCTTTAAAGAAATGCATTTTGAATAACATTTTTAAAATACAAATGAAGTAATGACATTAAGCATAAAACTACATAGAAAAATAGAAAAGAAGAAGCCTACTTCCTGTTCAGGCACAATTCTCCATTTCTGAATTTCATTAATACTTTTATTACTTTCTGGATTACAATAGTTACTCGCTATCACTTTCTGTAAAAACTGAACCTACCAGGACTTATATCTTGACAAACTGTTAAGTGCCTGTCCCACTCCTCTCTTGTATTTTCATCCCTTTCCCTTGTCGACTAAAAAAAAATGCACACCTTAAAAGTTGAGACTTATGTTTTACTTGGTGGACCTTCTGAGGACTTGAGCTCAGGAGGCGCCCTTTCAGATGGCTCTGAGGGATGGCTCCAGAGATGCCAGGGAGGAGCCAGGATACGTAGGAGTTTTTGCAACAAAGACCAGGTTGTCAGACATCAAAAGACTACTGTTAATTAAAGAAAGCCAGATAGCTCAGTCTAAGGAATTTAGCACTTTTCTACGTATGGGAAGGTGCAAAGGTCTGGGCTCAGTGAAGTCATTCCTTTGATATGCACCTAGTTGTCTAGGGCCAGAGTCCTGTGCTTTCCCAGCCTGAGTCCCCTCAGGGGGCACCGGTGGGAGTGGCAGCAGAGGCCGGGCTGCCTGCTTGCCTGCATCCTGAGTTTCCTCCACTCGCTGTCGGCAGGGCGGCAGCCGGGGGCCGGTTAGCAGCTGATGACCTGATGGCCTCAGCATCCTTTGTTTACTGACATGACTGGCAATATTTTTCATTCATACCCTTATCTACTGATTTTGCAGTGCCTGTCACAGCTGTAAATGAACAAGATAAACAGGGAAAAGAAATACCAATCATATCATTGGCATTACCAGTGGGTATTTAGGTTCAGCCTATGAGTGGATACGTGAACGTGTTTGTATCAGATGAGTTATTGAATTGGGAAAGGGGACATGACGTAGATTACGGCTGACATTAATCTAGATGGCAGATTTCCACCACTGGATTATTTTGTATCTTCCAGACTCCAGCTTCAATAGAGACTCAGTAAAGACTGACCAGCTGAACATGATTGAGACATTTAACAAAAATAATAAAATGAAAAGACCAAAAAAATTAAGAAAGAAAGAAACAGCAGATAGGCTAGGAGTAAATGAAGAAAGCTAACTTATAAAAACTGGTCAGTAGTTCTCAGACCCAGTTATACATAAAAATCATCTGGAAATTACGATCAATGAGGGTTAGGGCAACATCCAAGTTTCTAAAAGTCCCACCAATAACTCCGCTGCATGGTTGGGGTTAGGACAACCTCACCTTAGTGAAAAGAGGCTGGTCGACAAGGAAAATCAAGGATGATGTGGAAATGTTAACAGATGGAAATGAAGCAATTCCCATTACAGAAGCCCAAGGGTAAATGAGGCTCGAGGAGAAACGTCAGGGTGTCCTGTGGTTATTTTGTGCCAAATCTGAAATGTTCCCGGAAAAACAAAAATTTAGAGACAGCCCAGAGAAAACTGACAACAGATGAAGTCATTGTCGCGATGACATTTTGCATTTCACAGAGATTAAAGATTTGTCATTACTGCATAATACAGGACTTTTAAAAAGTAGAAAACAGAGAACAGGTAAACACAGAGGAATAGGAACTCGAGAATTCAGAACTCACCCAACTTTTACAAACTGTACTGAGAAAACAGTTCAGGGAAGTCTGTGGGGAATTCTTTTCTGCAATGGGCTTCCTGAGTCAAGCAAGCGTCTCTCAACCCTGACTTCAGCTGTCCATGACTAAGGGCTGAGGCATTTCAAGAATTTTCTGCTCAGAGTATCTGGAAAGCCTGTGGTTTACTGCTGACTTTTCTGCAAACGGGTTGGCTCTCTGAAATTAGAACTCAAGGGATGCCCTACAATCCCAGACGATACCTTTTTGTCGAAAGCCACATGTGCAGGAACGAACTCTGCGGGCGGGGCCTGCCGGGGCTGGCCGTACATGAGGATCGGGGCCTTGTTGGCCAGCTCGTCCAGCTGGGCCTGGGACAGCTGGTTGACCGGGAGCCGTTCCCCGCCTATCCCGACTGTTGGACGTCGAACAACTGCATAGCCATTCCTGTAGCCTAGCGTCTGGCTTCTGTGAAATGCTGTTTTCTGAAGGAAAAAAAAAAGAAGCGTGTCATGAATAATACATTTATAAATACTTGTGAGGCAAAAGAGTTGACTTTCAAAAATATCATAATTCAGCCTTTGTGTATAAATATCACAAGCCTGGTATCGAAAAGTTTACCTACATTAGAAGGTTCTTGTATTTTAAGCTGAAACACGTGCCCAGGAACAAGGAGGGAAGCCGCAGCCTGAGCTTAAAATAAAACTTGAAGCCCTGCTGCCGAAGGGCCCGATTTAATGACCAGCTCACGTACCACAAAAAAACTAAAACATTCTCTCATCTGTACTCTTAGTTCTGTGCTAGTCTTCCATCTTACCTGGTGGCCATAAACCACGGAACCTGGAAGACCTGGTCCTGTGATCTGGATTTTCACCTGAAATGAAAGGCCCTCTTGCTACAGTGACACCGACACATTCATATAACTCTTTGGAAGGCAAATAAATATTGTAGATTTAAAGTCTTGAACTCCAAGGTGTGCAAATGTTACCTACTATATATAAAATAGATTAAAAAAAAACAAATTTCTTCTGTATAGCACAGGGAGCTATATTCAATATCTTGTAGTAACTTATAATGGAAAAGAATATGAAAAC